AGAGATTTAGCATTGCTTTGTACTGCTCCAAGTTTAGACCTGGAAGAACACTCTTGTTCTAAGTGTCTGTTTGCAATGGACACCGAGTCACTTTCTGAGTTCGGGATTCATGCTCTCAAGAGTGCAATACCTGCCCCTTCTTTAGATCAAAGTTTAACACCATCAGTCCTTAATGAACACTGGGAGGGAGCAGAGGCAGGCATGGAGTGTGAAGCACCTGTCAGAACTTGGAGTGACGCTATCAACGTTGACCGGCAATCCATTCAACTTCCTGTAGCTCCTACTTTCACTTCCTATAACCCATTCGGGATTCTTGAATCAAGTGAGGACCATGAGGACCCCTCGGAGGCTCGTAATTTCAACAGTGCAGGCGACATGATAGATTTATTTAATTGCTCTTCAACTGCAAGGATGATGAAACTAAATGCCCTTGAGGATGCAAGCCTGGGATTTGAAGAACCTGCCCTCTACACTCACTCTGAAGGAGAGAAAACTGTTTTTATTGACTCTAAGCTTGAACCTTTTAGAATCATAACTCCTAGTTCCTCTAATATGTCATTACAGCTTCCGAAATTAGCTAAGGGTAAGGCAACCTACTCGCCTTCTCATATGGTTACTAGAAGTAGAGCTAAGATTATAGCAGCGGGAAGGAAAGAACACCCCATTAAGGGAGTTGACACATCCTTATCTTATTTTTTTAGCTTTGTGGGGCCTTGTTTGGGTTTAGCCCACCCTCTTCATTTGTACTTTTAATTTCTTCTTTAATTTAATAAGATAGAGCGTCCCTGGGCTCTATCACACCCTTAGTGGTGAAGTTTTTCAGGTTAATATATATATATATATATATATATATATATACATATATAGATATATATATATATATATATATATATATATATATGTATGTATGTATGTACCCACGCACATTATATATATGTATACTTATACATATCTTGTGTGTGCCGTGTACAAAAGTATATGTATATACATATATATTATATTAAACATTTTACTTTACTATTTTACAATATACAAATTAAATATTATCCTTCTTATAATCCTACTCTTTAAATTGTTCAAAGTGTGCGACCCATATAGGCACTTATAAAACTGGCCACAGTATTGACTCTAGACCAATACTATAAGTAATAAGCGGTATCTAGCAACACATTATTACCCCCAGATTATAAGTTCAGACGTTTGCTCCGTCAAAACCTTTCTACGACTAAGACTTTGTATAACGTAGATCCTTTTGTCCCAATGTCTTAACTTAGTGCAAGGGATATAAAATATCCAACTTGTAGCCATTAAGTTATTTACTAATTAACAAGTCTCACTGATGAGAGCATATGTCTAAACTCATCTCAGCATGGCCATGCATTTCCTCAGTCATACTTATCAGTGGGCCACCACAAGACATTATTCTGCTTAAGTACAGTGACAAATTCTTTGTACGTAATCTACATCTTTGAATACGTGCAGCAGAATGCCCAATACAAAGCCTGTGTACCATCCTTATTTCATACGGCTTAGGACAAAGAATCAAAGCATGCGGGTTCACGCATTCAAAGAACATAATATTTCAAGTCTGAGGATCGTTATACCAATAGTCGCATTAAGGACACTTAGAGCATAGACTAAAAGTCTAGGCAATGCCCTTAAGGTGGGTCAGGTCTGGCATCCTATTATTAACGATAATATCTGCCCGAGAGTAGATGCAAACACTCCGTCATTGACCAAGAGACTAGGTCAAACATCTAACTCTCACTAGTCTCACGCGCACTAACGATATCCCGCTCTCATTAATGTTTCGACTATAGACCGTTTAGAATTATACTAAGTGACAAGATGTCAGTCTCAACATCAGAAGAGTCATTCTGATAAACATCTTATAATATATGTTGGGAAAAATATCATAGATTTTGATGATGATGTATTTAGAATGTAATAGGGACTTTAGGTCTCCCCATATATTCAATGTAATTTTTCCTTTTAGAAATATTGTTAAAACCAAATTCTTGAGATTTCCAATAAAGTGTTGATATTTCTTTGAGCGGTTTGATGCCTGAAGACTTAATCGAATTCAGAAATTTGGAAATTGGATATCCTGATCAGAAATCTCAGAGACAAGTAAGGATCTCTCAAAGCAGACAAAAATCCTCCTATCCGGAATACTACATGAGAACCGGATGTCTCGTTACAACCCACTGAAGGCTAAGTCGGAAGACTAGCGCGGATTTCTTTCTCACCTGGAAGACTGAGTATGACTCTTCCGAATTTGTCAGCTAAGAACCGGATGCCTCAAGGAAGACCGGAATTCTTAAAAAGCGGACAAGTGAGAAAAGACTTAGAAAATTATCTAAGTCTTGAATGAAGAAATTCTACCCGTTGGTAAGGAAAAATCAATCTCTTGATTTTCAATGGCTAGATTGAAGATAATTATGCTGATTCAAGAACAAATGACTCGAAGACAAAGTCTGGACCTCTAAAAATTGAAGAACCTGTCCAGAATTCCTAAACAAGCACTAGAAGACAAACAGAGTAAAGTGCTACAGTTCAGAATTCTTAAACAACAACTAGAAGACAGATTCTATGGAAAAAGGAATCCCTCCTTTAACAATTGGGTATGTCCAAACACCCATTCCAATGTGGAATCTTAAAATCACAATCTTCATTCAAAATTGAAGCCAGCAAATGCAACGGATAGTCTATTTTGATTCAATGGATAGATTATCCAATCCAGCTATAAATAGCATCCTTGGAAGACTGGGGAAGAAGAGAACAACAACAACAATAAGATAAACAACAACAAAGAGGCTACCTCATTCACAGTTAGCCCAAAAAGCTTGATAAAGAGAGATTTCTAAACTCCTTATCCAGAAGCAAACTTCTCCTCCTTCCAAAGAGCTATAGTGTAAATACTTGAAGGTTTCCTTGCCTCAAGTACCACACCACGTTGAAGGATACAACTTTTGATCAAACTTACTGATTGAAAGGGGGTAGGTCAACTTTCTTACAAGTTGGTCCTGCAAGTCCTATTGTTCGGACCTTGCAGTTGTTGAAGAAGCGTGACCTTCGAAGGAACAACAAAGCCAGCACGAGTGCAGTAGCAACATTGGCCTTGCGAAGATATACCGTGTAGAAATTCACACAAGTGTAATTGTTGGTTCATTATTCAACAACCAACTACATAGTGGATTTTGAGGACGTAGAAGGATTACCCCACCTTCGAACCTCGTTAAAGTTTGCGTGTCTCTCTCTTTTATCTTTATTCTTACTTGCAAATATATTAACTGAGAAAACTAACCCATCCATATTGATTACTGCTCACTCTACCCACCAACTTCCGTACATAATCTAAAGTTCACAAGAACTTTAGATTAACACTCATTTTCACGTTTTCAAAAGAAAAAAAAGGGTTTTTAAATTTTTAACAAAGTCTATTCACCCCCCCCCCCCTCTAGACTTTGTATCTCACCACTTCGGGACCACCAATTGGTATCGGAGCATACTTCTCACTATCTACTTTTAGATTAACAAGAAGCGATCATAATGGTGAACAATATGGATCACGGTTTGCCCATGTTTTCTCTTCTAGGTTATGATGATTGGAAGATCATGATGGAAGCACATCTCTACGCTCTACATGATTGCATGTGGATGGTGCTTGAGGATGGACCCTTGAAAATCCAAATGGAGAACCCTGAGAGGAATCCAGCTGCTCCAGATGTAGTGCAGTACATTCCAAAGCCCAAGGAAAAATGGGATGATAGAGATTGCAAAAAGCACAATCTGGACAACGTCGCCAAAGCAACCATCTTCAAGACACTTGATCCCATCACCTTCTCCAAGATTAAGCATCTCAAGACTGCCATGGAGATTTGGCAAGGTCTTGGGAAGCTATGTGAGGGATCAGAGGACCTGAGAAAG